TGATTCAATAAATATTTTTTTTGTAAAAATTTTGACTATTTTATTTAAAAATTCTAACTCCGCACTGTAGGCTTATAAAGTTAAGGTGTATTTGTTGCATAGGACTATTTCATGATTGGATTAGTTTCAATGGCTAAGCTGAATTGACTTGACATGAACTAAGTAATACAAGAATAATAAAGTGTTTGGTGCAGTGTTAGACTAAATCGTAAACTAATTTTGAAATCCAAGTATTTTTTTATATTTTTAATTCACTCTCGCTCTCTTCTCTCTACCTTTCCTTCTTTTTCTTTTCCCTTTTGTTTCCTCTTCTTTTCATTTCCAAATGCTGGGATTCCCTTCTTCTGTTTTTCTCCTTCTTTTTGAATTCGACAATAAGTAATGCTAAAGAAACTAAATTTATAAATTAAATTTGCAAACTAAATGATGTGTCACCAATAATAAATAAGCATTTTGATCAATACTTAGGTAAATTTTCTTGTCACTTTGTTTACAATATTTAGTCTACAAATTTAGTCTCTCTAACATTTCCTTTCAACAATTGCTTCTCCTTTTTCATCCATTCCCTTTTTGTTTCCTCTTCTTTTCCTTTCCAGACACTTAAGGTTCTTTGCTTTTCTTTTCTTTTTCGAATTCGGCAATCAGCCACAACCAGATGAACCCCAAGAGCAGCACCACTTGCCCATCGGTTAGGCGCAGAAGATTTGTGGAACGAAAAGGACATTTCCAAATCTGTGTCACAAACAAAGCAGAAGCTTTTTCGCACAAGAGGTTGAAGAGAGCGAAGAGGAAGACGAAGTCCATACGGGATTAGCAAACGACGCATGTGCAAGCGACGCAGCTCAGACGGAATTAGCGATCCCATATCTTTCGGGAGGTCTCGCTAAGGCGACCTAGCAAAGCCCTTAGTCAGAGCGAGTTCGACTTAATCTCATTTAAGTTAGTCTATGTTCGCACCAAACACGAATTAATCGTCCTAGCTAAGGTAATTCAGTCCAATGAGACTTGACGAGGGCAAACAAACACGGTCTTCTTCGGGGTTATAGTTTTGACTGTTTTTCTCCGGATCTCCGAACATTTGTGGACCAGTAAAGTCTGTCGATGAGACTTTTACATTTTTTTTCCACACACTCCCTCCTAAATTCCAAACAGGAATGTGTTTGACCAATTCTTTTTCAAGAATAACCACGTTGATAAGTAATCTGATCACAAGACAACATTCTTAGCATATACCGTCATCATCATGTACGTGAATCCGCATGGGAGTATTCTGAGTCTTTAATCATGAAGGCGTGACATGCATAACTTATTGCAATGCAACACCCACTATTCTTTGAATTGTTTTAAAGCATGCATGAATTAAAACTAGTTGGTAAGGGCAGGATGCCCACTCTCTTACTTTAAAGTTTGCATTTTTTTTTTCGTATATTAAATTTTAATTATTGTAAAAAAGAAAATTAGGCAGAGTTAACGTCAGCGATGACGTTGAAGTGCAACGTAAGAGAATGGAAATGACATCAATCCACTTTAGAAAATAAGACAAATACGAGTGTTTTCGCTGTTGGTATTCTTTCTGATCTCTACGCATTTCACTACTCTACCGGAAATTCAATGAATTATTTGCTACTCGTGCCCGCCAATATAAAAGACGACAATGCTACTTTCTTGTTTTGATTCACATGGTAGCCCATCTTGTAAGCCCACATGAATTACAAGTGTGGGTTGGGGCGACCATAACTGCCCAGCAACATATGATATGGCTTTCAATTTGCGTCGTGTGTTGCTTGAGCGACCTATCTCATCTCCCCATCATTTTGAAGTCAAGTCTTTGGCAAAGGCATTAAACATAGACTCGATGGAGAGTTTTGACAGTTCAAGTGAGACAATTTGAGTTAAACGGGTTTAAGTGAAACTCAAATTGAGTTTCAGTATACGTAAGTGTAATTGAAACAATTTGTATAGAAATCTAACGGTATATTGGCACGTACGCTTATTTTCAGACGCCATATACATTGCTAAAGAGAGAAGAAAAATGAATATATCACTAAACTAGGAACTAACTGATACAAAACCCTCGTCCCGAGGCCTTTAATTTTCAATTGCACATAAACACGTGGTGGTGCACCTATTCATAGCTCTGCCAAAAGTTGCTGACACGATTATCAGAAGCACCCAAAGAGGAGTAAAAGGGTGGGGATGGGAGTTTCCCAATTTGCACCAAACCATCAGAAACGCCATAATTGCAGATGGAACCGGATACCCTCTGAATCCATATATATTGAGTATGCTAAGTAAGCAATTTAGACGGTTGAAACTTGATCTAATAGCTATAATTATTATAATTTTTAAACGATCTTCATATTTACAGCCGTTGAATCAAATTTTAAATGCTTGGATCGTTTGCTCAGCAGGCTCAGTATTATTGGATCCGAAGGGAATCCGGTTCCAATGCAGATAGCCCATGATCTCGACACGTTACCTTGCAATTTCCTTGCCTCCTTTGAAAGCTCCTCCTTCTCCGTACACTACAAATATTTCCAAATTACAACCAGGAGAAATGTATTTTGGTAGAAAAAACAATGCCTCACGCGCAAGGGCATGCGAATGTTCCTTCGTAGTTCATATGTTACATTCTGTTAATTATGCCTCCACCAGTGTACGAGTGGTTGCGGCCGAAGAAGCAATGTCACTCGATCATTATCAAATTGACTACAGTTTTATCTTGTCATTTTTAGTATTCCAAACATTCGCATATGCAGTGGTGAATCTACGATTCAACATATATATATATATATATATATATATTTTTTTTGAGGATGTTCCTAGTGCTAAAGTACAAGTTTTCTAGATAGAAATAAAAAGCGAAGTACGCAAAAAAATTTCAGTTTAATAACTGAGGCATTTCGTTGAACACTTAGTATGCTTATTGTCGTCAGCTAGATTATGTTGCGCACATGTCAGCATATATGATAGATGATGCAATAATCTGATAAGTGTTATTGAGAGAATTTGTTAAAATATGTCTAGCATGCATTACATCAACACTTGATAGTCATAAAAGTGACACATACCAAACATTCAAAAGGTTCTCGAAAGACCTTCACATGTATGTTTCTTGGACTTTAAGTGGTCCGGAGACTGTCAATGTACATCCGCCACCGAGCATATACGTATGCTATGTGCTTGCTCATAGGTGAACTCATGACGCATTTGTACGAAAGATAATCACGGGGACAACCATTACAGTTAGAAAGGTCGTATATCGTATTGTGCTATGGACTCTTAAGTTGTTTGGGTTGGATTGAACTACCTTGTCGTAAAATAGTTCGGTCTTTTCCATGAGGGGTTGAAAACCTAACGCATGTATCTATGTTGTTTTTGGAACTTGTTGAAATATCTCATATCGACCGTATTTCTGTGAAAAGAAGAGTTTAAATATCCTAACCTTACTCCAACTAATATTGAGGCCTTTTATGATAAAACCTCACACCTGACGAACTGTGCAGGTAGTAATAACCCAGTTAAGGACAATATCAGTGTTGTTGGAAGTGGTCCGTCTCTCTGATGATTCTACAGAACTTACATAAACGAAATATAAATTTTAGAAAAATCGAAATGCAGTCACCTGACTTAATCAATACACATTATTAGTATATTTTTTTTCATTACTATTCTTGCATACATACAGATATCAATGAAAGCAGTTTATTGCATGTGAAGTGAAGTTTATAATGTCAACCAAATAATTAATTTATGTATTTGGAAGAGGGTGGGCTATTGAACTAGTACTGTCTAGTGCAAGTGACTAGTCCTTCAATTCAAGCATAATTTTGCAACCGAATGCCAAGAAGCTGTTAATCTCAATAAGTTGCCAGCATCATTGAAAGCACGTTTAAACTAAGCTAAAAGATATGCTTTTGTGAAAAATGATTCGAGAGGGTAGCACCATGGTGGATTAGGTCGTGGCTGGTGGCCCTCTTTATATAAAATTAACAATTACTTCCAGGCTCGTTCTTCTTAGCTTTTTCCTGCAAACGCACATTTTTTTTTCACTAATTTTTAAATTATGAGTATACTATAGTTTTATTCCCCAGATAACACTTGTTTTGAAATAGAACCTTCAAGTTAATATTTCGTCAAATTCAGTATGACTCATTTTTTGGGACAATATCATCGTCTAATTCACCATTTGTTTTTATGCACAACGTCTGGTCGAGCTATGTTACCATGTGTGTTAGCTTCAAACTTGAGGGCAATTGCGCATCTTGGATAGATATGCTACTTGGGTCTTGGGCGTTAGGGTCTTGGGTTTGTGTTTTAGTGTTGTGGTCTCGAGTTTGCGTCTTGGGTTTGGTGTCTTCGTGTCTCTAGCACCCACAACTTTTGAAGTTGAATCTCTTGCGTCAGGGTCTGGACTCTCGGTTATCAAATTTTTCACGCCGAGTTCAAGGTTTCGTGATAACATGTTGAGTGTCAAACTCATGAGTCCTTGGGTTGAGTCTCAAGCCAGGCCTTTGGCCTTTGGAAGTGAGAAATAATTTTATACTAAAGTTCTCATTTACGAGAGGAGGAACCTAAAATCTCTCACTTGCAATCAAGTAAAAATACAACTAACCAATATCCCTGTTTACTTTGCATATTTCGTATATTTGACACTAAGGGGAGGAGGGAGTTTGGCTAAGCCATACAATGAGCAACCTAATTTGGTATCGAATTCGTCATCTACGAGATTTGGACATAAGATCTCTCACTTAAGTGAAAAAAAATACCATCAGATCGTAATATTGAGTGACCTGTTTACTTTCTATATTAAACATATGGTTAGATCAAATTTGGTGTATATCCTAGCCACCATACGGGGCCTAATACAATGCCATTACTAATATTGTATGAAGTAATTGAAGTAAACTGAGTAGCACGCACCAAAAACTGCGAGTGGAAAGGGTAAATACAGAACTGCCCTCTCTTTTTTAAGCACTTGTTTCTATTAACTTCTCTCCCCCATTTCATTATGCTCTGCTTCTACCAAACATAAGCTTCCTTTTGCTTCTCTCCAAAAAACAGAGGAAGCACACAGCCATTGAAGAAGCTCAGAGATTCATAATATACAGATGAACCGGCTCGCACCGTTGTCGGAAGAGCCGAACATCAGCGGAGAAGAGGACGCCGCGAACCGGTCGAGCAAAGGCATTCTGCGGAGCACTCAGCCGTGGCGGAACTGGATCAAGACCCACCTTTCTCCCCTCGTGCTCTTCCACAAGAGGTCCGACTTCAATGTGCTTCTCAGTGTTCTTGGTTGCCCTCTCTTCCCTGTCTCTGCCCTCCCCAAACTACCCCTCAATGAGGTACCTATTTTCTCGCCACTTTCCATAACTTTTCCATCCTTATTTAGCAATGATGGTTTGATCATTGATTCATTATGTGTTTGGATACTTTGGTACCTTCATATGCAGGTCAATCCATTTATTTATTTATTACATTTTCTTATACAAACGATATTGGAGAAGGAAAAATCGAATACAGAACCTTGGATGCAGAAATAACAATTCTTAATTAACTAAGCTAAAAGTCTTGTTTATTTATTAACATAAAATTGTATTTGGCTTAAAAGTCGAGTTTAGACCACCTTTACCAATTACATTGCTGACCATTGGTCGCACATACATGGTTGTGAAAGTGGTTAGCAAGGTGACTAGTAACTGAGATACGTTGTTCACCGAACGATGTGAGAGGATGAGATCAAATAAATGACCTCGGCTACGAATATAACTGCTCGTAAATTCATAATTACTTAAGCAGCAAACCCGTGGTATTTTTCTTTTAGCGTAAATTTGTTTTTGGTTTAAAAGCTTTATTGGATTTACTTTTGTTGAGGGAAAGTGAGTTTCCATGTATGTGAGAATATAATAATGACTGGCCTTAGGCTAAATTAAAATTTTTATTAAAGAAAAAGTAATTAGAATGTAATTTAGTATGATTTAAATAGGATTTTATTTGTTTTCAGAAAAAAGGTACTGAAATATTTACTCTAATTTCATGCAGGGAAAAGTCTTATTGTCCCTCTAATTTAATGTTTTTTTTTCTTATGATTTTCTTAAGAAGGTTTCCTCAACTGCACAATACATAATACAACACTTCACAGCTGCCACCGGTTGCCGCAAGCTAGAAGGCAAAGTGAAGAACATTTTCGCAACTGGGAAAGTGACAATGGCAATGGTTGATGATCCCGGCCCCGGTGGTCGCTCAGCTGCCGGAACCACCGCAGTTTCGGAAAAAGGGTGCTTTGTGATGTGGCAGATGGTTCCTAACAAGTGGCTGATTGAGCTAGTTCTAGGTGGTCACAAGGTGGCAGCTGGTAGCGATGGCATAGTCGCTTGGCGTCACACGCCGTGGCTAGGTGTCCACGCTGCCAAGGGCCGCATTCGTCCACTCCGGCGAGCTCTTCAGGCAAGTCCTACTTAACTAAATATGTTTTAAATTAGTATAATTTAACTAAATCTTAGTTTTCACTGGGAAAACGTGCCAGACGGGACCAGGGACAAATAAATATAGGTGTTGCTTGTTAGGTAATATAGCATGTTTTTTCTCGTACATTTCCCCAAATAACATTAAAAATTAGTTGTTTTAATTTTTTTTTTTTTTTTTTTTGGGGGGTGGGTGGGTGATGTGCGGGTTTTTAGTTTGTGACTGCAGAAATATTAGGTAGGGTAGAGATTTTTCAGTGTCTAGGGTCATAAAATACGAGATAGTACACTATATATCGTTATACAAATGGTAAAATAATTGTGTTAAAAACTTAACAATTTAGAAAGTAAAACTTTCATTCACTTATATAATGATGCATAATGTGTCACCTGTGTTCTATGCACAATAAAAATTTTCGTTAATTGAGAGAGGCGTCACCAAAATTTAAGAACTAATAAGTCATCCTGCACTCCAGGTGCACTCTTCCCCAGTTGAAAAAATACGTACATACGGATGAAGTGCAAAACGACTCTTTTGGAGTGTATATAGGAACTCCAAAAGAAAAAAGCACGTAAAAACGTTCCTTTGTCAAAATTGCTATAGTTAAGCAAGAGTTGGCTTGTACATAGTAGAATAATGTACTCTCGGAAGATTAAGAATCTAGACCATATCGACATCGACTTTCATCATAGCGTGTAGTTCAGTTTCACAGTTTGACAATATAAATATTATGCGTATTTTATGTTACAAGGGTACTCAAAATATATAGAAAAGCACATGAAAAGAACAACAAAACAGCACACACCAGCAAGCACTCATCTTCTACTTAGAAAATTCCTTAAACATCCATGATGGGTAGTTTTGACAAGTTCCCTTTACGTTTGCATCTTCTACATATCTAACAGATTTGAAGAGAGAATTATAAGCAAAGATCTATAACGACCCCCCCCCCCCCCCCCAAAAAAAAAAAAAAAAAAAAAAAAGGATGTGTTAGACCCACGCTACCCATAAGCTGAAATGTGCTTTTCAGCTTGTACTATAAGCGCTTTATATCTGATTAGGTATTATCTACTTATTTTTCTAATTATTTTTTAAATCTTTTTGGTAGAGTTGCATATGCAAACTAAGACATGATCTTACCAGCCAAATTACCGGATCTTGTTGCAAATAATTTTCTTTCATTTGTTGATTTTTTTAGTATCTTTTGAATTTTTCTTGTTGCATGCATGTTAGGAATTTTTCTTTCCCTTGCATTCATTCAAATTCATGACAAACATCAAAACCATTGGATGCGTTGACAGTCAACAAATCCAATGGTCGTTTTTCGTTGATATAAGTAACCAGCTACGTATATCATCTCTTCTTACAATTGTGTGCGAGCTATCCTGCATTCATTTCGATTCATGACGAACACCAATACCATTGGATGTAACCTCGGCACAAAGTTAAACATATCCAATGATCTATATGCTCGATTGAAGATTATTATAATATATCCAGTTATGTATAATCTCCTGTAAAAATAAGTACGTGAATTCTACTGTTACATGTCAGATTTCACATACTATGATGTTATATCAATGGTGACGTTTTTTTATTTTTGGTTTGTAGGGATTAGATCCAATGGCAATATCAGCTGTATTTTCCCCAGCGCAGTACGTGGGGGAAAAGCAAATCTCCGGTGTTGATTGCTTCGTCTTGAAATTGTCAGCTGATCAAACGGATCTAGCTGAACGAAGTGATAGCACAGCAGAGATGATCAAACATGTAATATTTGGCTACTTCAGCCAAAGAAATGGGCTGCTAGTGTACCTAGAGGACTCTTATTTAACCAGGATCCAGTCACCTGGTGCCTACCCTACCTACTGGGAGACCACAATGTCGACGAAAATCGAGGACTATCGGACGGTGGAGGGTGTGATGATCGCACACGCCGGTCAGACAAATGTGATCATCACACGGTTTGGGGACAATCTAAAGACAGGGTCAGCGATCACGCGGCTGGAAGAAACATGGACGATTGATGATGTTGCATTCAACGTCCCTGGATTGTCCATGGATTGCTTCATTCCTCCAAAAGAAGTACAGAAAGATTACCCTAAGAAGAATTTTGATTGGAGATCACCATTGCATTAACGATGATGATGATGATGATGATCTTGATCACGATTAGTTGATAAGGGATTTGATTATATTTTGATCCATGACTTGTGTGAACAGTTGAATATTTTTTTACTCTTCCCGCTCTTAAGTGTCGAAGTGTAAATATCGTACATGCTTATGTACATCTTTATATACATATTTTTTACTCTTTCCCGTTTAATAACTATTTTGTTTTTATTTTTTTTCCTAGAGAAAGAAAGAAGTAGATAATTGGAAGCCTTTATGAAAATAGCTTGAGCTAAGTTTATTTTAACCAAAAATCATGTTATAACTTTATTTAATGAAAAAGAATTAAATATTAATGAAAAACCCTTAAATTTTAATAAAAAAAAGATACAAGAACTTAAATTTTAATGAAAATGACACAATTTTAATATTAAATAAGAAAAAGAAAAAAACCTGGCACGCTGGACTCGCGTGTCCATCACATGCATTGTTTATGAAACAGAACACTATTTATGAAACTAAACACTATTTATGAAATTGAGCGATATTACACTATTTATTGGTCCAGTTTCATAACACTAGTACAAAAACATGTTTGCGAGATGCATCAAATTTCGTCGCGCAAAGTATGTTTGCGTGACGTTTTGTGCGTCCCGCAAGATTTGGCGCCAAACCAAGAATGTTTTACCATTTTTTTCCAAACTTTGCGCGACTCAGGTGCACCTATGTCGTGCAAAACAGTTTTGGGGAGTCAATCTATTGGTTTTTGCTCAGCAATCTAAAATATGCCAAATTTTTTTATCTTGATCAAAATCATTTGACCCATAGAGAAATATGGAAGGTACCAGGGCAACAAATCAATGATGTTGAACTATTAGCCTAATTGTTACAGAGTTATTTTCTGTTTCTGTTTTCAATTGGAACTTTAAATGTTGTGCTGCACAAACACAAACCTTGCAAATTGCAATGTATATTTTCTTCCTTCATTTAAAAGTTTGAAGTCTATACTTTCTCTTTATAAATATATTGGAGAAACCAAAAGCAGAACTGGAAAAGAAGATAGTCACAAAACAAAGATAAATTGGTGATTCCCGTTTCAATCAATAACCACAAGTTCAATTTCAAAACATACAATGCAAATTAAAAAAAATTCAAAGTTTGGAAGAATTGAAATGAAAATCAGAGGGGTTAGGTTTGGATTTTGGATGTCATTTGGTTATTTAAAATATAACTTTGCACGACGTACCAGCCAATGCATCACACAAAGGCTATTTGTTCAATGTACAGATGCGTTGCGCAAAGTGTTTTTAATACTTTCATCAAGTATAACATAAGATTTTGTAGTATCCACTTGTGTAAATATTTTAAATTGATGATCGAATCAGTTCTTTGTATTCATATAGGGTCAAGGAGTGTAGCTGTAAAAAATCATCAAAATCAGAGTTAAAATAACCGTTAAATCGTGATTTTTTGTTTATAACCGTTGAAAAGTTTTGTCATGTTGCTTGATCTCTGAACGTTTGTTTTTTTGCGATTTTTGGCATATGCAATCTCGAAGTATATACAAACAAATTTGATGGTTGGATCGTTGAAATTAGTTTTGAACAATGCATATCCCATAAAAACAATAGATTCCCTAACACGTAGAGTTTATTAATACTTTCATCAAGTATAACATAAGATTTTGTGGTATCCACTTGTGTAAATATTTTAAATTGACGATCGAAGTAGTTCGTTGTATTCATATAGGGTCAAGGAGTGTAGCTGTAAAAAATCATCAAAATCTGAGTTAAAATAACTGTTAAATCGTGATTTTTTGTTTATAACTGTTAAAAAGTTTTGTCCAGTTACTTGATATATGAATGTTTATTTTTTGCGATTTTTGGCGTATGCAATCTCGAAGTATATACAAAGAAGTTTGACGGTTGGATCGTTGAAATTAATTTCGTACACTGCGTATCCCATCAAAATGATAGATTCCCTAACACTTAGAGTTTATTTATACTTTCATCAAGTATAACATAAGATTTTGTGGTATCCACTTTTGTAAATATTTTAAATTGACGATCAAATCAGTTTGTTGTATTCATATAGGGTCAATGAGTGTAGCTGTAAAAAATCATCAAAATCGGAGTTAAAATAATGTTAAATCGTGATTATCGTTTATAAACATCGAAAAGTTTTGTCCAGTTACTTGATCTCTGAATGTTTCTTTTTTTGGGATTTTTGGCGTATGCGATCTCGAAATATATACAATACAAATAAGTTTGACGGTTGGATCGTTGAAACTAATTTCGTACAATGCGTTTCCCATCAAGTTCAATGGTATATATATTTATTAGGTAGATTTTAATTTATTTATTTTGTACTCATAAGCAAAAGGGAAAAAAAATAAAAAAACTTTGCGCGACGCAAGTTTTGGGGTTCTTGAATTGCCTTTTTCTTTTGTGGTATCCACTTGTGTAAATGTTTTAAATTGACGATCGAATTAGTTCATTGTATTCATATAGGGTTAAATAGTGCAGCTGTAAAAAAATCATTAAAATTGGAGTTAAAATAACCGTTCAATCATGATTTTTCGTTTATAGCCGTCGAAAAGGTTTGTCGCATTACTTGATATCTGAATGTTTTTTTTTTTTTTTTGCGATTTTTGGCGTATGTGATCTTGAAGCATGGTTGGATCGTTGAAACTAGTTTCGTACAATGCGTATCCCATCAAAATAATAGATTCACTAATACTTAGAGTTTATTTATACTTTCATTAAGTATATATCCACTAGTGTAAATATTTTAAATTGATGATCGAATTAGTTCATTGTATTCATATAGGATCAAAGAGTGTAGCTATAAAAAAATCATCAAAATCAGAGTTAAAACTACCGTTAAATGATGATTTTTCGTTTTTAATTGTTGAAAAGGTTTGTCCCGTTGCATAATCTCTGAATGTTTGTTTTTTGTGATTTTTGGCATATGCGATCTCAAAGCATATACAAACAAGTTTGATGGTTGGATCTTTGCAACTAGTTTTGTACAATGCGTATCCCATCAAAACAATAGATTCACTAACACTTGGAGTTTATTTATACTTTCATTAAGTATAACATAAGATTTTGTGGTATCCACTAGTGTAAATATTTTAAATTGACGATCGACTTAGTTTATTGTATTCATATAGGATCAAGGATTGTAGTTGTAAAAAATCATCAAAATCGGAGTTAAAATAACTGTTAAATCGTGATTTTTCATTTATAGCCGTCGAAAAGTTTTATCCAGTTACTTGATATTAGAATGTTTGTTTTTTTGCAATTTTTGGCGTATGCAATATCAAAGCATATACAAACAAGTTTGCTGGTTGGATCGTTGAAACTAGTTTCGTATAATGCATTTCTCATCAAAATGATAGATTCACTAACACGTAGAGTTTATTTATACTTTCATTAAGTATAACATAAGATTTTGTGGTATCCACTTGTGTAAATATTTTAAATTGACGATTGAATTAGTTCATTATATTCATATAGGATCTAGAAGTGTAGTTGTAAAAAATATCAAAATTGGAGTTAAAACTACCGTTAAATCATGCATTTTCGTTTATAACTGTCGAAAAGTTTTGTCCCGTTACTTGATCTCTGCATGTTTGTTTTTTACGATTTTTGGCGTATGCGATCTCAAAGCATATACAAACAAGTTTGACGGTTGGATCTTTGAAACTAGTTTCGTACAATGCGTTTCCCATCAAGTTCAATGGTATATATATTTGCTAAGTAGATTTTAATTTATTTATTTTGTACTTATAACACTTAAGAAATTGAATGATATATATGTAAAAAAAATTATTGTGGGGTTTATGTAAAAAAAAAATTTGAATTTGAAAGGAGTGAAGTCACATTTTCGGTAATTTTTATAATAATTTTTTTTTTTGAAAAAAAAATACCTTGCACGATGCCCTAATGTGGTCATCACGCAAAACCACTTTGTGCGACGTATACCTACGTCGCGCCAGTTGTGATAATTTTGGCGGTGCAATAGTGAAAAATAGGCATTTTTTTTCAATTTTCCAATTTGGACTCCAACTCTTTCTTTCCCGTAGACCTCTCTCTTCCCTCTCGTTCATCTTTCCCTCTCTTTTTCCCGTAGACCTCTCTCTCATTTCGCAAGCTTGAACCCCAAATCTTGAACCCAAACCTGTCTTTCCTCTTCACAATCTCGAATCCAACCACCACCACTACTTTGTCCGTTGTCTCTCCCCCTCTCGTTCTAAATGACGGGCAGCCATGCGAATCTCGAAGTTGATGCGAATCAAGTCCCAAAATCATGGTAAGGGTTTCTGATTTTCGATGGGTTTTTGTTATTTAGGGTTTAGGGTCAAATTGCATGTTGATTTCTGAGTACTTTATCAAAATCTCCAGATAAAATTGGATGTTGGTTCTTGTTTAGGGTCAAATTGCTTTTTTCGTGGTGTGATTCGAGTTGATTATGTGAAGTTTTTGCAATTTTGTTGATCTGTATGTGTGTTTTGTGTATGAACATGGAGGTGGTCTTGCTGGACTAGGGAGGAATGAAGGTTTAGGTGATTGAGGAAAGTGAGATTTTATGCTTAATTGCTTGAATTTTGATGAGAAAACCAGTAATCGGATGTGGATTTTGATAAAAGTGAATCTTGTTTGCAGGTTATTTGCTTAAATTGTATATTTTTTTTGTTTGACTAAATTGGATATTTGGATGCGAATTGAGCATTGGATAGTGATATGATATTGTCTTAAGTCGATCTTCGTGTGTACATAGAATTGAGCATTAGATTTTTACGGCGCAGAGGATTATCAGCAATAAACGTGAAAGGGAAAATTGAAGGCGACATTGGGGGCCTCTCTGAATTAAGATCCTTGTGAGTATGATTGTTCCTCATTTCATACCAGCATTATGTTTGCAACATATTATGAACTGAACAACACACAACAAATTTGATGTCTAATTGTAAACATATGCATAAAACATATTTATTTTGCAGTGTCAGTTGTTTTGTTTAGCTAAATCTTGATTAGGGATGGAATTCTTTTTGTAACAAATCTGAAATGTTAACATTGCAGGGATCTTTCATTCAACAAAGGTCTCATCGGTTCTCTCTCTCTCCACGATTAGGGGATCTGAGCAAGCTAAACATCCTTTAAAAACAATTTACCAAGCAATTTTTCACATCTGCACCTTTTGAACTTCATATATGCAACATGAGTTTTTACATCAGATAAGTATATGAGACTGTTTTCATCGTTTAGGATCCTAGCTGGTTGCACCTTCAGTACTCAGGCATCTTTGCCCACTTGACATACTTAGGGCTACCTTCACTTTTGCTCTTCATTTGCTTATGGTATTTGTGTTTTATCGATATGAACCATCTTTTGTTTCGTACTATTTAGGACCATCTCTAGACGCTTTCTTGTACTTGTTTATTTTTTGCTAAGAATCTATTATTATCAGTCCCTCACCAGAAGTTACTATACTGTGGCCTATGGAAGAACAAAGACTTCTTTGAATATTATGCTCTGCTCGCTTATTTGCAAGTGGGGGGTTGAGTTTTTGGAGGCTGGTGTTGGTTCAACTCATTCCAAGTACACATGACTAGTGTGATGTCATTTATAAATTTTAACCTATCAAAACATATCTGGCTTTTTTGGTATATATTGTATTTTTAAATTGCAGGAAGCAACATCACCATCTCTCTCCTCTGTCTCTCAAACACACATATACACATGCACACACACAAAAACGTACATACAGACTAACAAATAGAAAGTTAGGCTAGGGGGTTGATAGATTAGGATAGGTCTCTTGGTTTAGGTTTGACTCTTTTTAATCAATCGTGCTGCCTTGGATTCATTACACTTTTCAATCTTTAGTTAATGTTTGTTCAGTTTTCTTGTTTTTTTCACACATGGTTTATTTGTTCAGTTTTCTTGCTTTTTTCACACATGGTTTATTTGTTCAGTTTTCTTTGCTTTTTTCTTCTAGTTTCAAATGCAAGAAAGGATCAGTTTTCTTTGCAGTGTTGGTTTTTGCTTGTTTTCTGCAAGTCATATGCTGATCCTTCTCTTTCAGCATCTTTCCATCCATCATATGCACGAACAAGAGCAATATGATCACTGTAATCTTTTGCAGAGAATCTAGATTTTGTTGTCCCTACTAACTGTATGAAACAAGATGAGAGAGAGAAAGATAGAGCACACATTATGGGGTCATTTGGGTACAATGCGAAAGGGAGAGTAACAGACCAGCACACTAGCATATTCAAATGGGAGTTCATTGATTGCGATAAACTAATAATATTTGCGATAAATAGCTCCGTAAACTAGACCTTATTTGCCCTTTTTTTTTTACGGTGTTACAGAGTGGATTGGCCAAAATAAGAATTACATTTTCATTTGTTTTCAACATGGACTGAATTAGAATATTACATTCCTTTACCAGTTAATTCAACCATCTTTTTTTTAAGCATCTATGTGTGCATTTATTTACAAATTTTGGTTAAAATTTAACATGCATCACACTACTTTGTATGGAAGTATTTATACGACTACAATTTTAGGTCATTGTATCTGGTTTGAACACCGCATACACATGCACACACACAAAATGTACATACAGACTAACAAATAGAAAGTTGGGTTGGGGGTTTGACAGATTAGGATAGGTCTCTTGGCTTAGGTTTGACGCTTTTTAATCAATTGTGCTACCTTGGATTCATTACACTTTTTAATCTTCGGTTAATGTTTGTTCAATTTTCTTTGCTTTTTTTTTTCTTCTAGTTTCAAATGTAAGAAAGGATTAGTTTTTAATGTTATATTTTTATTGTTCAAAAAGTGTATAGATGTCGCAGTTGATCACTCGTCGTCGGAATGTAACCAATGCGCCTCTCACATTATCAGCATCTACTGCTCCAACCGTGAGTGCTTCATTGATTGGGGAGACGGGTTTGTGAGACGGGTGCCTCTTCTTCCAAATCGAACACATCAGAGGTTGATGCATTGAAGGAGGAAGTGACAATCCTAAAAGGTCAGCTTGCGGTCCAGGGCGAGGAGATGAGGGCCTATGTCAAGCACGTGAGAGACCTTGCACAAGCTATACAGATGTCCGGCCTCCAAATCTCGCTACCAACACCTGATCTTGCTACACCTTCGACCTCCGAGCCACTTTGCCCTGCCGATACCCAGTAGCTTGATGTATCAAACCTAGAAGATTACTTGTAGTTTTTTCTTTTTTGTTCGAACATCTTGTATGTACATTTTCATATAATTTATAATTAAATACTTTTCCTTGGTTAATTAATCATTTTATAGAATTTAATTACAATATTTATTAAAAATTAAAAAAAAATATTTTTGACCAAAAAAAAAAAAAAAAAAAAAGTTTGCGCGACGAAAAAGAAACCTATGTTGCGCAAAGTGGCTTAGGTGCCTTTGTGCGACATAGGGATGTGCGTCGTGCAAAGCCTCTTTGCGGGACGCATGTTTCTTCTTCATTGTGCAAACCCTTCTGTCACTGCCTTGGTGTGACGGTTAGCGCGACAAAGGTTGGTTGGGCTAATTTTTGCGCGACGTTTTTTAACTTTGCGTGACGAAGGACCTGCGTCGCGTAAAGTGTTTTTTTGTACTAGTGTAAATAATGTCTATTTCTTGGTCCACTTTCATAAATAATGCCTAGTTCTTGATCATGTTTCATAAATAGTGATTAGTTATTTGGTTTAGTTTCATAAATATTGTATAGTAATTCGTACAGTTTCATAAATAGTGTTTATTTCTTGGTCCAGTTTCATCAATAATGTCTAGTTCTTGGTTCACTTTCATAAATAGTGTCTAATTCTTGGTCATGTTTCATAAATAGTGTCTATTTCTTGCTCCAGTTTCATAAATAGTTTCAACCAATTGATTTAGTTTTAGAAATGGTGCCTAATTCTTGGTTTCGTTTTATAAATAGTATCTACTTATTAGTCCAGTTTCATAAATAATTTTGGCAAAATTGAAAAATAACACAAATTAAATCAATAAAGTCAAATACAAAATATCCATCAAACTAAACACAGATGGTTTCAACTCCATATGTTCTTTTATTATTTATTAGAAAGTTTTAGAATAAATTCAATCATAGACGATTTTTGAAATTTGAAGATGGTAACCAGTTATGTCTTCCATGGACACGTTCATGTTCTTGGGAGACTTTCAGAGTAAGATGCCAAGTCCCATGACCATGAGGATTCAAAATTGCCATTGCCAACACCTTGCTCTTCATCAGAATGTTCTTCATCGCTTGGGGTTTCAAATACGAAACTCGAAGTCTTTGGTCTGTTTCAATCCCAACTCGATGTCGGCTGGAAAGAATAGAGTAGCTTTTTATTTTGCAAAAACCATTTTGAAATATCATAATTAACGCACACATCGCTACCAATTAAACGGTTTGTGATTACAAACAAGCCATTATAAAAGAAGTTATTATCCAGATGAGTTTTGTCATGTCTATCAGTAGTAAGCCTGCTGATAAGGGCCGTGCTCCTTGCACGCGCTTTTAATTAACTTTTTTTTGTGTCTTTTTCATTCTATTGACCTTATTATTAAATAAATAGTTTCATGATAGTTTTTTTTGTTAAAATCTAAAATTTTGAAACTTTTTTATTAGTTTTCCTTAAATAGTTACTATGATATTCTACTATAATCTACATTCTACGCTAAGACTAGTATAAGGGTTTGAACTTAGGACAGAATGAATTAAGAGGCCCTCACGTTAATCCACCACTTGCCAATGTATAGGATTTGTTTCTCCTAAAATACGTTTGATTTAATTTTTCTCTTTTGGTTTATTTGTTTATTTATTAATTATGGTTTCTTGCCACTTATTACTAACAGAACCCTTTCTAATCAATGAAGATAATATTGTTTGTTAAAAGAAATAAAAATTATGATTTCTTAAAATAAAATTAAAAAAAATTAGGGCTTCCTTTCGTAATTAGGATTAGGGTTTTCCTTGTTATTTAGGGTTTACCTTTTATTGTTTCCTAGTACAATTTGGATGTGGCAGCAATATAAACCCTATCCTGTTTTTCTATTGTGGTATTGAGACAAATTTGTGACCTTTATCAATCCGTTGGATTCCACTACTCTTGTGCTGTTGATTTACGAAGTTGATCTAAGACTCTCTGTATTTTCCTCTGCGTATTTAATTATCATCGCGAGATGACCAGCGAAGAAATTGAAATTCCCTCCGGAGTGGAAGCAGCAACCCCAATTAACGGAGGAGCTGAAGAAACCGCTACACCAGCAGCCTTCCGCTGCAAGAAATGCCGAAGAGTTGTTGCATCGCAGGACAATGTTCTGGATCACAAACCGGGCGAGGGAGAGCAATCGTGGCGGCGCAAACCCAAAAGTGGCGGTGGTGATGGCGGCAGCTCGAAGTCGGAGGAGGAGGGTTCAAAATATTGTTCGTCGATTTTTGTGGACGAGCCTCCAATGTGGATGAAGACGGCGGTCGGAGAAGGTGCAGTGGAGGGGAAGTTGTACTGCGGACATTGTAAGTCTCGGTTGGGTTGCTTCAATTGGGCAGGCACCCAATGCAGTTGCGGTGCGTGGATCACCCCCGCCTTTCAGCTCCATAAAAGCCGGCTCGACATATGATATCGATCAACCTCACAAAGCAAAAGCTTGGCATCAAAATAAATAATTATACCACTAAATCAATGTTTAGGAAATTATATATATATATATATATTAATATTGGCACCTACAAGTTCATTGTGTCCCTTTACTATATTATTGATCTTGAACAAAAATCAACAAATTGGTTGTTATTGTAAGTGCTTTTCTTCGGCACAAGGAATACTGGGGCTGGGGAAGGGGGACGAGACTCAAGAGTGCCCATCAAGTGCTCGTTGAAATGCTTTGTTTGGTAGATCTGGGCAACACGTGTTGGACTTGTTGCAAACACTTGTCATTGGCATATGTCGACAAATTCACTCGGGACCAGGCGACATACTCAATGATCAGAAGTTGTCGGCATATGTGAAAGGCTACTCGAAAGTTGTCAGCATCTGTCAACAAGCGTGTAGCATTATTTGACAAATGATTATATGTTTATCAAGTACTCGATGAAATGTTTTAATTAAATAAGTGATGTACCAAATTAACATTCATCGAAATAAATTTTAATTCACTTTTTATTTCTCAAGCTATGGATTGATTTGGTGGTTAAAACTTCCTAGCACCATTGCATGTTAGAGTCGAACTCTCTAGCAAGTGATGCATTGACCCCATAAGACAAAATGTTTGATGGACCGCACGTCGGGCATGACAGTTGGTGGTATGACACCCTTCTCAAAGAAATTGCATGACAGTTGGTGGTATGACACCCTTCTCAAAGAAATTGTGATTCTCTCACGTAGTTTGTCCGTAAGGTATTGATGAACAATTCGTTGGACAATACTTAACGCAATTACCATAAAATAAATCAAAATTCTTGATAAATGGAGAAACATAGAGCTTTGTTCAATATCACCATTTTTGTTCAATAAGATACCAAAATGGATGATTGAACCAGGAACGGAGAGCTCTCCCCCCTTTTCGACCCGACTGTTTGGTCTTAAGAATGCTAGTTTTCACCTAAGCACCACTGTTGAAGAACAAAAAAATATATATAACATATAAAAAAAACTAGAGTCCATACAAATTGGATCAAGTTACAAGACAAAATAAAAATGTAATCCAGCCCAAAAGATGAGGATGGGCTTTGCATACAAATCAACATCCATAAATAGAAATAAATAAATAAGATATGAATTCCTTCCTACTAAAGGGGGAAGTAACGTGCAAAACAGGGGCTCCCCATTTTCTGCAACAAAAAGACGTGGAAGACTGGGACAGTCGGTGAGAGAGGTTAAGAAAAAGTGGCGGAAGACATGGCCTCTATCTCCCCCACATAACAGCTCTAGAGCCGTCCTAAGATGTCTATAAATAGGCATCAGTAGACACAAAAAAGGAAGAGATACTCTGCAGAAAATAAAAGAAACTTTGAGAGAAAATACCAAAAAGCAACGAAGTACTGCCAGAAAAGAGAACAAGGAGTTCAACCATTCGTGCTTTCATGTCAAGATCCAAAGAAGAACATTCATCACTAGGTATGAAACAAGTTCTGTTAAATTATTTATTTCTCTTGTTTGATGTTGTGTTGCAGACAAAAGTGGGGTAAAAAAACAGAGGCGTAATCAACTACCTAGAGTCAGTAACCTTCATCTTATACAAGAAAATTGCCAACAAGCCACCAGAAAAGGTTTCTATGCAAGGAGAGTATCTTAAATGTTAGCCCGACTACTCCTCTACCAGTAGCAGTTTGTGAGTTAGAAATTCCAGGACCTACTCGTTAAGCATTTTCTCAACACAACATGTCTCTATGTAGACATGGAGGTGCCGGAAAAATGATCTTTACGGGGACGGTAAAAAATCTGCTAGTCAAGGCATTTTCTCGGCACAACAAAGGTTTTGAAGACAACAACGTTTGAAAGACATTAACATAAATAATCTCCAAAATCCCATGAATTTCTTCGGGGTGGTCTAAACCACCCCGTGAAGTTCCAATCAAATCTAAGTGATCCATACTCGCCGTCTACGCCAAGAAAGAAAGGAGCAATAGGTGTCACGGCAAGCAAAGGATTTGGATAAAGAAAGAGCAAGTTTCGTTCGACTCCAAATATTGACGGCAACCTGTTCTTCATTCAATCACCAACGGTGCACAAGGTTGTTGGCAAAAGCAGAACAACATGCTCCAGGAAGATGACACGTTACTGGTGTTCTATACTTTAAAGATCACTCCAGAAGATGAGCAAGAAGAAAAGTCTTCTAGATAACATGAATGCCATTCACATGGTTATCATGTCGGGTAAGGTCAAGAGACTTGAAAACAAAAAAGGATCATTCTAATTGCCATCTGTCAAAAAATCAAGCTAAGGAAGCAAACACAGGAAGCCAAGTCTTCTATGCAAAGTCATTCTTTGCGGTCCAATGAGAGAATAGGTGCATTTGTGGAGCCGTGACACTTGAAGAAGATTTATGGGTAGAGCATCACTTTGCATAAATGTTGATAGGAAAGAATAGCAAGTATCGAAGGCAGCAAATGGATGGGAGCCCAAAAAGAGGCGTACAATGCCTACTGTCAAAACCAGTCATATGACTCTCTACGGAGAAACAGAGATGTCGGAAGGTGATAATCGGACACTAATGCATCGAGACTCATTCAAAATATGGCAGACACGAAGAATGTGTATGAAGCATTTCACTGAGTATTGGAGCCAAAAACAAGGGGATCTCTGAAGCATTTCACGAGGGGATGCTAAGTGAAGTTTGCACCTCACGTGGGATTCTAAGTCCCACTTTAAGCCTTGGGCTAACAAAAGGAAAAGACAAATCAATGTCCTATTTCGCAAAGCCTTTAGGTGATATTACCGAAGGTCATATATGGGTTTTAAATAAATCCAATTAGGCATCTTATTTTGCCAAGTCTGAATACAAGTCTATAAATTCAAATCAAATTTGATTCATAAGTCAAACTTGTGGAGTTTCAAATACACCGAAGGTTGCATCAAGGGAAGAAAATAAGGGCTCCTCTAAAACGTGGAATGCAACTCACGTGGACCTTACAAGCATGGGCACCGTTGACTAAAGATGGTGCAAGTAAGCATGGAGGCACATCATGTGTGAAGACGATGCCGATATCGAATCCGTGGAGGACGTAAATCACTTAAATACCATGAACACAAACCATCTCAAAACACAAAGTTCGATGGACTTATACTACGTTAAATTTAATGGATCAAATTTCCGAAGTGGCCTATGACACGAAGTCGCTCCAAATATCAAAAGGCACGAAGCCGTATCAAATACCAAAATGACACAAAGCCGCTTCAAATGGCACGAAGCCGTATCAAATCCCAAATGGCATGAAGCTGAAAAAAAATCTCAAATGGCATGAAGCCGTATCAAATATCAAATGGCACGAAGCCGCAACAAGTCTCAAATGGCACGAAGTTGTGTTTTGCTCCAATGGCACAAAGTCCTTGCTCGCACGAGCTGAAACTGCATAAGGCACCAACAGCTCCAATGGCTCAAAGTCCTCTCTCGCACAAGCTAAAATTGCACAAGGTATCAAATGCTCCTTGCCTGCACGAGCTGAAACTGCACAAGGCATCAAACCCCAACAAATACATAAAGAACTACGAGTAACTTGATCCCTCAATGAGGGTACGTAAGCAATCTAGGGCTCGACCCAGGTGCAGTTGCAAAATCAAACACCCAAATCCCCAAGTTACGATTTATTCATATTAGAATCAAAGGGTTTTTTCCTTTTAACAAAGGATTGTAATTAATAGACGCATAGTCTAGAATGGGTTGAACTCAAATTAATAAAACCCTCTTTGAAAAATAAATGAGGGTAAAATTATATCAAGTGAATTATTTGTTTGCATATTGTGTACAATGTTTGCTCAACACCCACAATGAGAATTCTCCTTAAAAAAACCAAATTAAAAAAAAACAAATGAACAAGAAAAAGTATGAAAATATGTAAATTGCGTTTGCCAGGAGTCGAACCCAAATTAAAAAAAAAACAAATGAACAAGAAAAAGTTTGAAAATATGTAAATTGCGTTTGCCGGGAGTCGAACCCGGGTCTATTGCTTGGAAGGCAATTATCCTAACCGTTGGACTACAAACGCTTGACTTAACATTCTTTCAGATTGTCAGGTAATATAATAACATTTTATGTTTATATGAGATAATATAATGATCATTGCCGAAGGAAAATTTGAAAGGCAGGTTTATAGGCTTTGTTCAAATGAATGTTAACTGAGATCTATAGCCCTTGTCCACTAAAATTCAGAGATGACTAACTTAACAGAAAATTCTAAGATTGGATCATCAAATTAAGTGGTTGTTCGACAACAAACAAACAAATTGTGTTTCTCTATTAGGTAATTATCAACTGACATACTCATAGCTAAAAAAGAACCATACACAACTAGCGCCCGGCCTACATAAGAGCTTAGCCCAACTGAAGGCATCATATTTCTCAATGTTCCATCCACACCCTTTTTTACACCAGATTATTTTGGGTTAAAACTTGGAAATCATATGCTCATAAAAAACCAACCACACCCAAAGAACCACACATAAAAAAACACACAGTGGGAGTGGGAGGTGACAAGAGAGTTCCCGCCAAATTTGCCGTTGGTAAAAAAAGTGTGAAAGGGGGTGGCATCCAAAGAGTGCTCCCTCTTGTGCCAAAATCTCCCCTATAAAAACCAACTCCATTTCCACACATTCACCTAACTCCCATCTCACTCCTCCCTCCTCCCTCCTCCTTCCACCCTTCCTTTCTCTCTCTAGAAAATCAAGTTTGCAGAAACCATATCCAAACTACCAATATTTTTATCTCATCAAAATCTTAGGTAGTTTACTTGCTCCTTTTTCTCTTTTGGGATAGGAAGTGTTTAGATAGGGTTTCAACCCAACCATGCATTTTTTACTGCAACTTTTGTTTGTTATCCTCCTTTTTTCCTCTTTCATTTGATTAATTTGTTTTTTTCTTTTACAATGTCATTGGCAGTGATGGAAGCTGTGTTCCTCAACTCTTTCTCACCGCCGTCAGCAGTCGCGCCAGATAAAGTCTTGAGAGTGTGTGATCATAAGAGGAATTGGTGCTTGTTGAGGAGAAAAAAGAGTGTGGTGTTGTGCCAAGGGTCAAGTAGTGGCAATGTTGTAAAGACTGGCGGGTTTTCTTCCGCGGCAATGAGGGATGCCGGAAGCCTGGTTTTGACTCCGAATGATCAGAAGAGCCCGAAAGAGAGTAACATCGCAGTGAAGGATTTGGTGCCTTTTGGCGGCTCATCTTCCTCCTCTTTGGTGGAGATGCATGATGGCATTGGAATTGTAAAATTTCTTAGAGGAAAAGGGTTTTTCATAACTGGTGCAACCGGGTTTCTAGCAAAAGGTAAGAACTTTCTACTAAATACAGACAGAATCATACTTTTGATGTTTTTTTTTTTTCTTTGTTTAAGTTTGATCTCTTCTGATGTGTTGTGTACATTTATGTTGTTCTTTTTTGTTAAAAACATCTAGTTCTTATCGAGAAGATATTAAGGACAGCGCCGGATGTGGGGAAGATATTTCTATTGATCAAGGCAAGAAACAAGGAAGCTGCAATGGAAAGATTAAAAACTGAAGTATGTTTTTCTCTAATCTATTTATTTTTCTTCTATTTCGTTGCTCTTACTTTCAACTCTGATGTGCACGGTTGTTATTGTGTAGATCATAAATGCGGAGCTTTTCAAGTGTCTAAGACAAACTTACGGAAAATCTTATCAATCCTTCATGTTAAGCAAGCTAGTTCCTGTGGTAGGAAATGTGTGTGAATCAGATCTTGGCATAGAAGATGATGTAGCCAGTTTGATTGCGAAAGAAGTTGATGTAATTGTAAATTCTGCAGCCAACACTACATTTCATGAAAGGTTAAATGGCCTTTTACATCCGAAGTTTCTCATTTCTTCGCTACATGTATACGAATTCCTCCTAAAAATTGAGTTCGGATTGTGATATATTTTCGCACCGTTTTGTTTTTCAGATATGATGTAGCTATAGATATAAACACAAAAGGACCTTGCCACCTTATGGCCTTCGCAAAGAAGTGCAAGAAACTTAAGCTCTTTCTGCAAGTTTCGACCGGTAAGTAGCAGAAAGCTGGGATTTCTTCTATGGAACTGCTTTTGCCAACTCGAATTTTAACTAAGGATTGATGCTTTTGTCCTCTCATTTTCAGCTTATGTTAATGGACAAAGGCAAGGGAGAATTATGGAAAAGCCATTTTATATTGGCGAAAGCATAGCGGGCGAAAGTCACATATCTGAAACCCCACCAGGATTTTTTTCCCTTGATGTCGAAAATGAAATAAAATTGGCTTTGGATTCCAAGGGAGCTTATGAAAACAATGAGGTTGCTCAAAAGATGAAAGAGTTGGGTTTAGAAAGGTAATGGCTTCAACTTTTTAACATGACAAAACTAAGATCTGAATTAGATTGATTATTGTTTTAACATTACAAAACTATCATCTAATCAGGGCACGAAAGTACGGATGGCAAGATACGTACGTGTTCACCAAGGCAATGGGTGAAATGATGATTGATAACATGAGAGGTGACATACCCGTAGTCATAATCCGGCCTAGTGTCATCGAAAGCACTTGCAAAGAGCCATTTCCTGGTTGGATGGAAGGAAATAGGTACATCTTAATTGTGTAGTTTACCTTGAAACAGAAACGTCGTTTACATTTTTCAGATTTACATCAGCTTTGAAATAAACCTCTGCTGTTCCGATTTTCGCAGGATGATGGATCCAATAGTTTTGTACTATGGAAAAGGGCAGCTCACAGGTTTTCTAGTCGATCCAAATGGAGTACTCGATGTGGTAATGACTAGTTTTCTTTTCTTAAATTTGCCCTTTGGCATGGTTGGTTGATTTTATGACATTGACATGGAGAAATATGTACCACCTATACATGTACACACAAACATGTATGTATATGTGTGTATCACATGTTCATTCACTGAATTTTAGTTGCAAATTGGCATGACATGCTAGCAGGTTCCAGCAGACATGGTTGCTAACGCAATGTTGGCGGCGATTGCAAATCATGGAATGGCTCAGAAACAAGACATAAACATCTACCAGATTACTTCGTCAGTTGCAAACCCTTTGGATTTCCAAGAACTGAGCGAACTGCTCTATGAGCATTACAACTCCTCGCCATGCAAGGACGCGAAAGGCAGGCCAATCCAAGTTCCATCGATGAAACTCTTCAGCTCGATGGAAGATTTCTCTGCTCACATTTGGAGAGATGCCCTCCAACGAAGCGGGTTGACAGCGTTGTCTTCCTCAAACGGGAAGCTGTCTCACAAGCTAGAAATGATTTGCAGAAAATCAGTTGAGCAAGCAAAGTACTTGGCCGGCATTTATGAGCCATATACTTTCTATGGTGGAAGGTATGATACTGCATTGAATCTTTTGATATATTCTAAACTACTCTGATTAACGGGAAGGAGATCAAACTCAAGTGCAAGGGAAGCACACTCCGACCGGCCCAATCCACTCAAGCAGTGTGCTCCCCTATGCACCTACATCCGAATTCTCCGTAGTTTAAGTTGGATTAAAATATCGCTCGAGTAAAAGAAAAACAAGTGAATTTTAATTAATAAATTGGTGCAGGTTTGACAACAGCAACACTCAGAGACTGATGGAGAGGATGTCAGAGGAAGAAAAGAGGAAGTTTGGATTTGATGTTGGAAGCATAGATTGGAAGGAGTATATTACAAATGTTCATATTCCAGGTCTTAAGAGGCACGTCTTGAAGGGCAGAGGGGGTTTGTAGCTCAAACAAAATGCTGCCTCCCTTGTGGCCCTAATCAAAATATCTCAAGCCATGCAACTAATTTGTAATAAGCCAAATATTATTTTCCATTTTTCTCTTTTTCTTCTTTTTAATTAGCCTATAAATCTGGGGGAAGGGAAGGTGCAAAAAAGAAGTGTTGCCTTCTCTCTCCCAGTGTACTCTATTTCATTAAACTTCTATGATGCAAGAAAGAAATAGAACTGTTCGATCACAAATTCGGGAAAGACCGTCTCACTACGAGCAGTATTATATTATTTGTGTCATTGACGCCTCGTTAAATCTTAAAGGTTTTAAATTTATAAACATAGAAGATCATCAATATAATTTGTAAATTGTAATACAATAATGATTCAAAGTTAAAGATGACATTATATTTTATTTTTCTAGTTTTACAACTGACGTTCAAAATATTTGAACTCACAATCTCCTTGGTTTTGATTATAATTTTTTTTAATAATAAATTATTAGTTTGGCAATATTTTTTGTCAAATGATAAATTTGTTAAGTTAGATGTTAAATTAAAGAAGTTTAAACTTACGCTGTAATGTGAGAGTAACACTAAGGGCCACTTGTATTAGTTTGGCAAATATTTGGCAACATTTTGGAAAGTGGGACGTTCTTTCCTATGCGGAAGACATTTCTCTGCCGGTCAAAATCTAACTACAATTGTCCAACGAACAAATTGTTTTGCCAAAAGCCAATTCCTACCGTTTGTTTTCAATTTCGGTTTCTTTGACTTGAACAGGGAAAGAAAAAGAGAAGGTTCGGTTTTCTTTGTTTTCTGCGACTCTCATAGTCTCCTCCTTGTTCTTCTTCTCTCTGAGACAGAGAACGCAGAGAGAGAGAGAGAGAGAGAGAGAGAGAGAGAGAGAGAGAGAGACCGGAGAGAAGGGAATGGAAAGCATAGCGCAAGGGGCAACACTGTGCGGGATTGTATCCTGGATGATAATAGCTTCATATCTCGATGTGACCCGAAAGCTTCGATCTTTCCTGCAACCATGGGTGGCCCACCATGTCACCGCCGGCACTCCTCTCATCCTCCAGATCCAGGTTTCCCACCTTCAAATCCAATCCGGCCCAGATGATCATTTTTCTTCTGTTCCAACAAATTTCAAATTTTATTTGACTTTTTCAATTTTTTGGATTTGGGTTTTTGTTGGGTTTTTTGCAGAATTACCAGCATAGATTCTTGGATGCTTTCTTCTCTGCCTTGTCATGTGTTGTTTCTGTGCCATTTTACACTGCTTTTCTTCCTTTGCTTTTCTGGGTAAGCTTTTTCTTCTTACTTTAATGGTGAATTTTGGTTCCTGTGGTTGTTAATATGCCATTTTTGAGCTGTATGTTTGTTGTGTTAATCGACATTTTGAGAATTCTTGTCGTTGTTGCTTTTCGTTGACGGTTTTTAGAGCGGGCATGGAAAATTGGCTAGACAAATGACTCTGCTGATGGCTTTCTGTGATTATATGGGGAACTGCATAAAGGTAATCACTTCTTTCTTACTGTTTAGTTTTTGTATTCGGTAAGTGCTTTAGTTTCTGGTATCAAGTTATATATTTTTCGGCTTTGTGTGTTTATAGGATGTGGTATCAGCTCCTAGACCTCGTTGCCCACCCGTTAGAAGAATAACCGCTACGAAAGATGAGGAAGATAATGCCTTGGAATATGGATTGCCATCTTCTCACACTCTAAACACAGTTTGCTTATCAGGGTATCTACTTTTCTTCTTGTCGATGCAGCTTGTTTTTCAAGCATAAATATTTTTGCAGAGCTAAGGGTAAATTGTTTCAATTTTAATTAAGAGGTTATAAAATGTGTGTTGCTGGATCTTGATTTTGAACATATATTCTGAATGAATCGGGACAGTTTGTTTCACGCTTATTTCCCCAAGCTCTCGATTTATCAGTTTGAGGCAAAACTTGTGTTATTCAAGACTAACTAGCATTTTAGCCATGAATCGTCAACGCATGCATCAGAAAGCCAAGCGCATGCTGTATGAATTACTGTCATGTATGTACTAATCGTTTGCTCTTGGGTTAGGGGTTTCCAGATTCCTTTTGCATTACATCCTATCGTATGTTCAGAATGAAGATGCCCATGTTAAAATTGCTGGATTGGCTCTTGTTTGCTTGCTTGTGGGTTTCATTGGTTTAGGTGAGTTTATCTTTTTCTATGATTTGTCTACAGCTTGTTTATATTTATTGTTTAATCCCAAAGCTAACTTGTGTTTTATTGATAGGAAGAATTTATCTTGGCATGCACAGTTCTATTGATATCATAAGTGGCCTTGCTATTGGATTGGTGATTCTTTGGTTCTGGCTCAGTGTTCACAAATATGTTGACAGTTTTGTAGTCTCGGGACAAAATGGTAAGCACACTACAAGTCATTTAACTCATATATTGTGGTTGAAACAACCTATAGCACAAACCTAAGCGTTTAAAGAACTTAATGATGCAAGAAGAGACTGCAACAGTCAGGTGGGAGCCCAAAGGTGGTGAGCATGAAAAATACACAGATATGACCACCACATGCTCTCTTGCAAGTCAGAATTTGGAATACGGAAGCTTTCAGAAGGCGTTACCAACCTTACAAAGCATTCTGTGAATATCCTTGTAGGACTGAAATAAGCATGGAACTCGGTCTGATACATGAGATACATGCATCCGACATGGATAAAAGGCTTCTAGAAATGCTTTCAGTATCATGTTATAGCAAGGATGGGACAAATTGTTCTATCTAGTGCCGAACCGCCCCTTTACAAACTGGGGCCTCTAGGAACTTTGAAGTCATAAGTTGGACAATGTTTGTGGTGCACCAAAGTTGTACTATCAAACAATCATTGCGAATCAGGTTCAGATTAAAGCAGAATGCAGAAAAATGAACCTTTTTAAACATATTTTGTTATGAGTAGAATGTTCCTCAACACTCTTGGAATTGCAATGAGAAATCGGTTGTAGAAAATTGGAAATTATAACTTGTAAAGTCTGTATCCGTATGTAATCTTAATGCACACTGTTTGTATTGCAGTTACATCCTTTTGGGCTGCCCTAAGCTTGATACTGCTTTTTGCTTATCCAACTCCTGAGTTCCCAACTCCAAGTTTTGAGTACCACACAGCCTTCAACGGTGTTGCGTTAGGAATTGTAAGTAATCGACTTAACATCAGAATTGTAATTGTTGCTAAATTTGCATATTCGTTTACTATTACACAAGCATTATCTTATCAGGCAATTCTTATATTATCCTGTTAATATACTCAGGCTACTATTTTCCGCCCCGTAATGTTCATAACTAAAAACAACAATGTTATCCAGGTATCTGGGGTCCAGCAGACGTACCATCAGTTCCACCATGAAGCCGTTCCACGTGTATTTACATCACAATTGACCGCCCCTGGCTTTATCGGAAGAATGCTTGTGGGAATTCCGACCATACTTATCGTGAAGTTCTGTAGCAAAGCTCTTGCCAAATGGATTCTTCCAGTGCTAGCCAACACCCTCGGTATCCCAATAAGATCAACCACTTACATCGCATCGCTAAAGGGACCGAGTGATGGCAAAAAATCAGATGGTTTGAAGCAATCGGGTTATGTCCAAAAGCTGTTCATATTCTCCAGCCAAGAATCGTTAGACGTTGATACAGGTATAAGATTCCTTCAATATGCCGGCCTGGCATGGTCCGTTGTCGATCTTGTTCCTTCCCTTTTCTCTCATCTAAGATTGTAGGTAATGCTTCATTATTCATATTATTAGAATATGCACTTGCAATTTTCCAAATGGAAAGATGCTCTCTGTCCGGTTTTGTTAAATGTGTATATTGAAGTAATGAAACAAATTGATTTTGCTGTTTCCATGGAAACACTTCTGAAGAGTTGCACGAATTTTCGTTCAATTCGGCTCTCATTTGAGAGCTGCAAACATTTGAAGTTGCAGTATACCCAAAATGAAAATGGTAAGGGTGTTGCAACTGTTGTAACAACGCGCTATTCCTATTAATTTGTTCGTAAAAACACTATATTCCTATTAATCAGGGGCACATGCTCTTAACTACTTAAGCTACAAGCTCCGGTGTTGGCTATCTTCAAACGAAAGCATTTTGAACGCTTTCCTCGCAATGCCATACTGTCATGCAATGACCCCAACACTCAAAGCTCTTTGTTCGACACGTTTGTATCCTTCAAAGTTCAGAGCCTTGAAGTACAAGATAAACTAAACATCTCCCAATGAAGAAACAGCTGCGGAAGAGTAATCTACAAAACAAGCACTTGGATTTTCACAAGAAGACCATGTGCAATGGCTTAAAAAGTGCACGGGCACAGCGAGAACCGAAGGACATTCAAGATCCAGCGGTCTTGTCCAAGTGGGTGAGCAAAACAAGTATGAGCACAAAAAACCATGACATTGCAAAAACATTGAGTAATCGAAGAAAAGAGCAAAACATCCACTAATAATAAAGTCCCATGCACACCCATGGGAAGGGTGAGCAAAACGTACAAGGCGAAAAAGAAAAACGAAAATACAAAAACGAAACAGACATCCACACCTTCTGCTGCTGGATATGATACATAATTACGGTGAGTCAACAGCTAGGCGAACTATTCGATGGGAAATCCAGCAACGTTCTAGTGTAAGACAAATCAGCAGGCACCTTACCTGTGTATTTTACATCGGTCTTGGAATCCTATGACCTAGATTGCAAACCCAACAGTCATCTTGTGCAAAAACAATGTGCTACCCCAATCGTGGAAGAGTGGAAGAACCACAAAATAAATGACACCAATGCAGTAGTTTCAAAGAAAGTAATCGGGTGTTCTACGGGTAACATCTGGCTCTCCTCTCCTCGGAGCTGGCTCAAACTGCAAAAACGTAAAGCATATTTTGAAGCACTTGCAAAATTTATCAAACTGTGCCTTACCACTTATTACTTACGACCCTGTGTGTGTGTGAGTGAGTGAGAGAGAGGGGGAGACAGAGAGAATGAA